TGAGCTAGAGCCGACCAAATTCACGCACTTTGCCCTATTTTCATTTTTAGCGTTTTTCTGAGTCCACAGGAAGACCCATTACTTCCGATTGAATGGACCGACATCGATGGGAGTGTTATTAAAATTTTCTAGAGATCCTGTGCTCTGCGCGGATAGCAAAAGCGCCCACCTACGAGATTTCGTTTAAAAGTTATAGCTGTCGACAGCTTTGGCCTAGTGTTATTTTTGAAATCGAGAATTAAACGTTTAGGAGAACATATCTGGCGAACAATTGGAGATATCGCAAAAATTCTTGCACCAGTGGATGGCCCGCATCCTCGCGAACAGGAAAAACCTAATTTCGAAAGAAAATAAAATATTAAAAATTTTGAAAATTTTGAATTTCTGATCGGCACAGATTTCGACCGCACATATCCTATAATGTTCGCACTGAGCCGGGGCATCCGCCTGTGAAAGAATTTTTCCGAAAAATCCTACCGTTCTCCAGCTACGGGCTTCGAAAAGTCAAATTTGAAAATATTACGCTCACGAACATGGTCGCGTTTGAAAATTCATAGCTTAAGTATGAGAAGTTTTCACATTAAATTACGATTAGGTAAAAACAATCCACTGAAGGATAAAAAAAGACATCAATGTAAAAAGGGGCGTAGAATTTAATGGTAATTTTAAATTTCGAGTGCGATTTCATACAAATCCGCTACCTAATTATTTATAGTTAAAATGAAAACAACTGTGTAGTCGTAAGAAAGCGCAGGTTAAATTACTTTTAGACGAAAACAACCTACTGAACTATTTTTTCTTTAATTTTTGAAGGTTATAAAAAAACCAAGAAGAAGAAGTACTCTAATATGGATAGTTAAAATACTCACCTTTACGGTAGTAGCAACCAAGTCTTCTATCAAATCTTCACCTCCATATACAGAAATAGACCAAAAATAGCTGCAACAAAAGCAAAGAATAAAAATTTTGGATTGTGATAGTTTAGATAATTAAAAATTCACTAAGGCAATCTGGAATGATATACCATACCAACAATTAAATTTGTTCTTTCGGTCGACCATAAAACTGCTTGATGAGAGAGCAAGTATTCGGAAAATAAAGGATAGAAAATTGCACTTGGGAAAATGTTATATGTATTCTAAATTACAAAAAGAGCTTTATTATATTTAAAAATATTAAATACGGCTGACAACCACCTCAATAATAGCAAGGCATTCAAGCAATGAAAGAGCATTCAGTTTTGGTTCGTTCATTTCCGAAATTATTCCCCACACATTACAGAATAGACAAAAAAACATTATCTTTGTAGTACATGTTTAAAAAGGCAATTCTATGCAAGATGCAAATTTAATAAAGTTAAATATAAAAGTAACGCATCAATTTTTAAAACAAAATAATTGGAGCCTTTATTCAAACCTGCAATTATTTGTTTTTAGATCGATTTCTTAGACATTCAACTAGTGAGTTTTCGAAAAATCCAAAATAGAAAAGTGATAAAAATGGTATATTCCTGAAAAACTTCTGTTCTATTTAAAAATTAAAGATACACTACGAGAATTTAGAAGGATTGAATACCAAAGCAACGAAATAATTTTCACACTCTGTTCAGTATTAAAATTACTTTAAGTTTTTGTATNAAAGCGCACGTTAAATTACGATTATGTGAAAACAACCTACCAAACTTTTTTTGTTTTTTGTTTTGAACGGTTAAACCAATTACGAAGAAAAAGTATTTATAGTATGGATCATTGGAGCACTCACCCTTGCGGTAGCAACCTGTTAACATCGTTCAGTCCAACTCTTCTAGCAAATCTTCGCCTCCTTGGAGAGAGAAGTAAACCAAAAACAGCTGCAATAAAAGCAAAGAATATAAATGTTTATAATGTGTCAGTTTCCGAATAAATTTGATGAACAGATAATTTTTCTAGGTATTATAAAAAGACGAATTTCTGATTCATTATAATCATATATTAAAAATTGACTATGGCAATCTGGATTGGTACACCATCCCAACATTTAAATAATGTCTTTTTCTCTTTGCTAAACGTTCAATCATATATGAAGATAAAGATTAAAATAATTAAAAATTAAGCTTGGAAAAATGTTATATCCATTCTTAACGACAAATAGAGTTTTGTTACATTTGAAAATATTAAATTTACGAGAAACTCTCGATAATAGCACAGTATTGAAAGAATGAAAGAGCTTTCAGCTTCAGTTCGTTACTTTCCAAAATTATTCCCCACACAAAGACAAACTAACGAATTCTCTTTGTATTACAAGTTTAAAAAAGCTAGATTCATTAAAAAAATAAAACATTAAATTTCAAAACGAATTTATAATTGCTATTAATATCAAAACGAAACAAAATGTCCTGTTCTCTCGGTCGATCGTTCACGCATACGACTGTTTGATGAGAGAGCAAGTATTCGGAAAGATAGAAAATTGCGCTTGGGAAAATGTTTTTCTTAACTATAAAAAGAGCTTTATTATATTTAAAAATATTAAATATAGATGACAACCACTTCCAGAATAGTAAAGTATTCATGCAATGAAAGAGCATTTAGCTTTGGTTTGTTAATTTCCGAAATTATACCCCACACATTACAAAATAGACAAACTAACACATTATCTTTGTAGTACATGTTTAAAAAGGCAATTCTATGCAAGATGCAAATTTAATAAAGTTAAATATAAAAGTAACGCATCAATTTTTAAAACAAAATAATTGGAGCCTTTATTCAAACCTGCAATTATTTGTTTTTAGATCGATTTCTCAGACATTCAACTAGTGAGTTTTCGAAAAATCCAAAATAGAAAAGTGATAAAAATGGTATATTCCTGAAAAACTTCTGTTCTATTTAAAAATTAAAGATACACTACGAGAATTTAGAAGGATTGAATAGCAAAGCAACGAAATAATTTTCACACTGTTCANACATATTTTGCTGACTGAACGTGCACAAATTGCAATTTTTCGGAAACGATTTAACGAAAACACATTATTGCTCAAAAATAGGAAACAACTACGGAATTTTCCAGTTTCTTACGTATGTGATAACACGATCAGCAAAGGCAGAATTAAAAGACTGGTGGCGCAATCGACGACCGTGGTACGGAGAGCTTTAGAACTAAAACTCGCAGAATTATCAACAATTTTTAAATAATAATAAAACTACAACACAGAAAGAGTCACCTACAACTAACAATTATGAAATTCGCATTAATTTATATCAACAATTAACTGTTCATTTCAAAACAAAAGATCAGTGTGTATGAATTTCTAAAGAGACACAGCTTTTCTGCACTTCCAGATAATAAGAGTGAAGCTTTGAACTGCATCAAAAATAAAATACAGCATACATAAATAAAAACAGCAAATTTCGATAAATAAATTCTTGTTGAAAATTTGCAACAAACTAGTAATTTTAAATAAACGAAAAACACCTAAAATTTCGTAGATAAAAAAAGCGCACGTAACTTTTCGACTAGCTAAACAATAATTTTTAACGTTCTATGCGGTGGAAAGGATGTAAAAATGTATGCAGAATTCAGTGATGATGGTATTTTTTGAGTGCGATTTCAAGTAAAGAAACTAGTAATTTTTAATCAACGAACATCACCTAAAATTTCGTAGATAAAAAAAGCGCACGTAAATTTTCGACTGGCTAAACAATAATTTCTAACGTTCTATGCGGTGAAAATGATGTAAAAATGTATGCAGAATTCAATGGTGATAATATTTTCTGAGTGCGATTTCAAATAAAAAACTAGTAATTTTTAATTAACGAAAAACACCTAAAATTTCGTAGATAAAAAAAGCGCACGTAAATTTTCGGCTCATCATCATCATCTTAGGGTCGTCAGAATTTATTAGTATATTAGTTTTTATGTGTGCTTTAAAATAATGGAAGTATGTAATAGTTTTTAATTGATGAGGAACTCCTGAAGGAGCATATTGGTCACAACATCTACCAATATTAGTATTATAGCATAATAAACATCAATATTATCTATTTTTTTTAAATTTAAATAGTTTTCATTGAAGACCCTTCATAAATACGGAAATACACGGGATAAAATTATCAATCTTACAATCCATGTTACAAAAAAATTCATATTAAAATATGTACGCATTTAATAAAATAATTAAAAATTAAGCTTG